CACTCACTCACGCGCCCCCCCCCCTTCCGCTCCACAGACGCACCAGTCGCAGCAGCGCCCACCACCACCGCCGCCGCCGCCACTACTACTGCCACTGCCCACTTCTACTCTTTTTCCTTCTCGGTGTCCGCCCCATCCTCATCCAGAAGCCCCGGATCAACGCGTAGATCGGGCGACATTCCAATAGCGGCGCCCAACTCACTAACATGGCGCGCACTCCGCACCGCGAGCGAACGCAGCGCCGGCAGCGCGGCGAGCCGCTCCTCGTGGTGCTGCACCAAATCCAGCGTCCCCAGCGCGCCGTCCTGTAACGTTTCCAGNGAGCCGCTCCTCGTGGTGCTGCACCAAATCCAGCGTCCCCAGCGCGCCGTCCTGTAACGTTTCCAGCGTCGCGCACAACCCGCGCAGCTGCTCCCACAGGAACAGCAGCACGCCGTCGAGCCCCGTCACCGCGTCAACGGCCTGCCGCTTCACCTCGCACGCGCTGAGCGGTGCGACAGCCACTTCCTGCACAAAGAGCGTCACGCACTGCGCTATGCCGTCATGGAGACCGCTGAGAGCATCCGCGGTGGATTGTGCCGTCGCCTGCGCCACCTCCTCCGCCACCGCGATCCGCTCCTCCACCTGCGCCTTCCACTCATCGTCACGCCTGACATTCTCGTCATTGTCCACGCTGCTGCTCATCGCCCCTGTTGCCTGGGAGGTGGCCGCTGCGTTCTCAAGCTTCTGCCTCAGTGCTGTTTGCTCCTCCTGCAACTCCTTCAGGCTGAATTGCAGTGACCGAGCCTGAAGCTCCGCCCCTGCCGCGACGCTCTGCACCGCGCCGACTCGCTCATCAACGTGGGCGGCGAGCAGCTGCACGTCCCGCTTGCAGTCCCTGTGGCTCTCGTCGCGCCAGCGCTTACTGAGATCCTCCGCGGCCTGCTGATGTGCCTCTAGCGACGCAAGACGCCCCGCCACGTCGCCGCAACGATCACTGCACTGCGCGGCCTCGTGACGCAGCTGCTGCTCCAGCACCGTCAGGCGCTCCGCATGGCGGCGCTGTGAAGATTCGTAGTCATCGGCCCGTTGCGCGAACTCGGACGCGTGCGTGGCGTGCTGGGCGTCGAGCTCGCCGAGGCGGAGCTCCGCCTGCTGAATGCGCTTCTTGACATGTGAAAGGGACTCTGCGGTCTCGCCGCAAGGAGCGAAAACGCTACGCAGGGCTTCAACCACCTCCTGCAGCAGCTCCGCGTCGTCACAGATTCCAGTCACAAGTTGCTTCAGCCCCGTTGTGTTGCGCAGGCGGTCTATCTGCTGCTGCAGCCGCTGCACCGTACCCCGCATGGTCACTTCTGCACCGCTGCAGCGCCCATCTACCTCCTCCATGAGCATCTCACGGAGCGTCTGCATCTGCGACGAGCCTTCTTCACGCGTGCGAAGGAGGTGGTGGTTGACCCGGCTCATTTCCTCCTGCAGGCGGGCATCGAACTGTTGCTGCAGCTCTGCCCGCTGGTTCGCGGTGCCACGCTCTGCGGTATCCACGCGGCGCCGCAACTCCTCCAACTCGTGCTTCTCTCGCTCGAGCAGAGCGAGCACCTCTATATATTGCTGGTGCTGCAGCAATGGTGAGGACACTGGTGGTGACGATGATGACTGGGGCGCTGTCTTTTCCTTCTCTTTCCCCGCCTGTTGCTCCTGCTGCGCCGCTCGGCGTGATGCGGCGTCTACTTTCCTCTCCACCGCGCCCAGCCTTTCTGTCAGGTCGTCAACTGCCGCCACCGTCGCGTCCACTGCATCGTGGTGTGCGAACTGCTTTTCGTGCGTCTTCGCGGCGGCGCCGAGGCCGTCAAGGGAAGACCGCAGCCCGCCTGTTATCGTCATGCACTCCTGCCGCAAGTCGCGCAGCTCCTGCATGACACGACCCTCCGCGGCCTCCACTGCCGTCGTCACCTCGTGCCGCATATCCGACAACTGCCGGGCGTCCGCTTTTACTCTCGATGAGGCGTTCGCCTGCAATTGTTCGCTGAGCGCGCGCAGCTCGTTCTCAGACTGGAGCAGCGCCTCAATCTTCGGCACGCAGACGCTTTGCACCGTCCGTTGAACCGCCTCTAACTTCGCGTTCAGTGGCAGCACCGTGCCCTGGTACCGCTCTCCCAGCTCATCGACAACCACACGCGTGGCGGCCTGACGGGCCTCCAGCGCCATCACTTTGTCGCCCACCTGCCGCAGCACAGCAGCGCTCGTCTTGTGATCCTGCTCGAGCGACTGCAGCTGCACGCCGTTGCGCGCGAGGGTCTCCCGCGCGGCGTTCTCCGCCTTCTGCGCGCAGGTGACGGCCTCCTCCGCGAGGGAGCGTGCCTCCTCACCC